GATGAAACAAAAAGTTGGCTTTCGGAAAGCTTTACAAAATTGACAAACTTTAGCCAGACTAAGTAAGAAAAACCAGAGAAAATCCAAATAAATAAAATCAGAGAGTAAAAGGGGGCATGACAACTGATACTGCAGAAATTCAAAGGATCGTTAGTGGTGACTATGAGAAACTGTATGAAAATGTATTGGAAAATCTCCAAGAAATGCATAAATTCTTATCCATACAACTTACCAAGTCTGCATGAAGATATCCAAAACCTGAATAAACCAAAGATATGTAACAAGTTAAAAGCCATAATAAGCAGTCTTCCAGTAAAGGAAAGCCCAGGACTTGATGGCTTCACTGTTGAATTCTACCAAACATTTAAAGAAGAACCAGAATCAACTTAAATTGATACCAGTTGTACTCAAACTATTCCAAAAAATGGAGGAGAGGGAAATACTTTCAAAATCATTCAAAAACTCCTGTTTTACCCTGATACCAAAACTGGACAAAGACACATCACAAAGGAAAAAACAAAACTACAGGCAAAAATGTCTGATGGGTATTGATGCTAAAATTCTCAACTAAATACTAGCAAATCAAATTAAACAATACATTACAAAGATCATTCATCATGACCACGTGTAACTTATGGCTGGTATGCAAAAAGGTATGATCATGCACAAATCAGTCAGTCTGATACAGCATATCAACAGAATGAAAGCTAAAAGCCATAGAATCATTTCAATTGATGCTGAAAGGACATTTGATAAAATTCAATATACTTTTATGTTAAAAACCCTGAAAAAAACTGAACTGGGTATAGAATGAACATACATCAACATAATAAAAGCCATCTATGTCAGACCCATAGCATATTTGTATTTATTTATGATTTTATTTTATTTTATTCCGTTTTTGAGACAGAGTCTTGCTCTGTCACCCACGTTGGTATGCACTGGCCCCAACTCGGTTCACTGCAACCCCTGCCTCCTGGTTTCAAGCAATTTGCATTCCTCAGCCCATGGAGTAGCTGGGACTACAGGCATGCGCCACCACGCCCAGCTAATCTTTACTATTTTTCGTAGAGATGGGTTTTGCCTTGTTGTCCAGGCTCGTCTCAATCTCCTGAGCTCGGGCAATCTGCCCCACTTAGCCTCCTAAAGTGCTGGGATTACAGGTGTGAGCCACTGTGCCTGACCTCATAGCATATTTCTTTTAAATGGCATCTGTTTTTCCAATTTACTCATTCTACAACGGAGGGATCCAAAGTCTGAAGAAGGTATGCAGTTTGCCCAGATTGCCAGAAAGAATATGAGATTTAGGGCAGAATGAACCTAGGTTTGAACACTGTTGCACAATTATTGACATGCTGAGCTTCTCTGGGCCACAATTTCCTCACCAGTAAATGGGGTCCCTATGGTGGTTTCTACCTCCTGATACTGCTGTGAGTATTGCATTTCTGCTGAACATCGTCCCTCTGTCTGCCTTTCCAGATCAACTTATCACCCTTTTTCACCCACTTTGTCCTGGAAGGCTGTTTAGAGGGCTTCTCTCAATGGGCTCCTGGGCTCTCTGATGTCCACTGGGTTTCGCTAATGGGGAGCCTCAAGGAGTCAGAGGTGGGAGGGAGAAAGGAAGGAGAGTGAGGGCTGTGGACCTATTCTCCTGGCTCCATCCCTGTGAGTCACCTAGGGCTGGATGAGTCTCTTGGTAGAGGTCACTGTTCATCTCCAGATAGCCATTTCCTCATGATTATTGATCATTGTAGGTTCTAGTAACCACTTCCTCCCTGCTCTCATTCCTTTAGGTCTGGAGTGATGGCAGCTGCTACTAGCACAATCTCTGATGTTCCCCCTGCATCCACCTGTTTGCAAATGGTTCCTTTGCAGGCAAATATTTGTCAAATTGTTCCATTTTGGATGGACCATCTGTTTGATCTAGATACTACATGCTCAGCGCAGAGCCTGACATATAGCAGGTTCTTGGGGTATGGAATCTATTGCTAGTAGTAGTAGCGGTAGTCATGTCGAGGTAGTAGTGGCTGTAGTGGAGGTAATGGTGCTGGCATTTTTCAAAGCCACTCATTCAGTCACATTCAAAGTCAGCAGTAGGATTTATCCCTCTTTCATAACCAACTCTTTCTCATTGATTACTCTTCACCTGTCTGTGTTCTGGAGCAAAACATATGGTTGGTTTCTAACACCTTGCTCTCTGTGGCCAGAGTGGAGCACATCCCAAGAAGATCCTTTCCTATAGCTGGTACTTTGTGTGGTGTTTTAAACCTGCCTTAGGCAGCTAAAAAGTGTGACAAAAATTATTGAAAATGTAGTTGAGGGTTATTACTATGACTTAACTAGTGTCAATTTACAATAGCATTTGTACAAAGGCCCGAAAACGAGCTGAAAAGGTATCCAGTGGTCCCTGGTTCTGGTCCTGGCTTCATCTCTGACTTACGGCATGGCATAAGAGAGTGTGTCACTCAACCTGATATGATAAGGAACAATATTCTTGAAAACTGAACACATCAGAAATCTTTTAAAAAGTTCAATACGATGAACTCATTGTACGCTGATGACCTTAAATTTTTAAAATTCATTTTAGTGACAAATATAACATAATCGTTAAGTTTTTCAATACGTGTTATTTTATAATGTAAGCTGTCATCTTTCAATAGGAATATACACTGAATGTGTTCCTAACATTTGATGAATTTTCTTTGGATGGAGATATACTCATCAAAACATTTTTTGGTAAAGAAATTTAAAAAACAATGATAAAAGGTAATAAATAAAATAATTGAAAGCTGTTATTTTCAGCAATTTTAATCAGTATTGACCTACCCTATTGGATGCAGTGTGCCTGTTGATTCTTGCTTGATTTTTGTATTTTTTTTTGTTTTTGTCCATTATAACATGACCTGACAGGGTGCTGTTCTCACTGCTAATTGCAGACAAGAGTCCAAAGGAAATAAATACTTAGATGTGAGTTTGTAAGGGTTTACTAAATGGAATTGTTAATCTCTAGACAACATCGGGGATTCACTAAAAAAATAAAGTATACCTTAATAACAATGTTCACCTGATGTGTTAGTGTTTAGACGACAGGCTTGGGAATGCTATGAATTATTTGTTTCTGAAAATTAGCAGAGCATTTTGCTAGTTTTTTATTGATTTTATAGTGTATGAAGTAAAGATATAGGAGCTTGGTGAACACTAGAACGAAAACCCGAGGTCTAATTCTCTTTTGTTTTATTTATCAACTTTTTTTCCCCATTATTGAGTTTCGTGACTTTCTATAGAGAACGGCACAAGTGTCAAGCTGTGGGGTAAATCTAGGGCCATGCCTTGTCTATCTTTGGCCTTCTGTCTTATTCTCTTTTAAAACATTTTTAGTTTTTATTTTGAAACAATTATAAGTTCGCAAGAAATTTCAAAATACGCACCCAGAGGCCTTATATACCCTTTACCCAATCTCATCAATAGTAAAATCTTAGGTACACTACCACATTACACGTTCAAAACTAAACACTGACAGTGATACAATCCAGAGCTTTTTAAGATTCAACACTTTTCTTTTGGCTATTCTAGAAAATTTATATTTTGTATGAATATTATAATTATCCTGTTAATTTATATTAAGAAGCCTTCCTAGAATTGTGATTACGATTCAGTTGAAGCCACAGATGGAATTTGGAAATAACTGACATCTTACAATATTGAATCGTCTAACTGAAAATCAAAGTATACATCTCAATTCTTTTCCTTATGTCATTAATTTATCTTTGCAAATTTTGTTGTTTTAAGTATACAGATCATTTATGTCTCTGTTCAGATTTATCCCTAAGCATTTAATATTTTAGTGGTATTTTACATTTCACCATTCTTAATTTCAACTTCTACTTGTTCACTTCTAATATATAAACATACAATTGATTTATATGTTGACCTCCTATCCTGCAATCTTGCTAACCTCAATGATTGTAGAAGCCTTTTTTAAGATTGACTTTTCTACACAGACTCTCATGTAGTCTTTGACAAAAGATACTCTTACTTCTCCCCTTCCGATCTGAATGCCTTTTTTTTCCCGCTGGACACAATTTGCAGTATAAAGTACAACTATGCCCACACTGGTGCACATGTTGGTCTTAGATTGCAGTATGCTGCATGTAAACACTCAGAACAGCTTCCAGCACTTGAATATCCATTCCTCCCTGCACTGCACATACTGGTAGAATTCACGTTGGAATACTACATTTACTATGTACAGACACCCTTCATTTGAAACAAGACTAGGATACACAGGAGAGCATCTTTTTCAGTAAAGTTTTGACAGACTGAAAGCCAACATTTCATATTGGAAATAGGACACTTAAATGAACTACATGGACATTGGGTAAATAATATTGGTTGAAATTTGCCTGGCAGTAGGCTAAAAGTAAACTGTCTTCAAGGTGCATATGAAGGAACTGTAGGTGGGAAATGGGATAATTCACATCTACACCAATAATTAGATGTAGCCACACCAGCTTGACGGGATTTCAGGTGAGACATCTAAAATGCTAGGTCATGGTGGGGGCTGGAAGATAAAAAATGTATTACTTAATATGAAGGGCTGTGGGGAAGAGCTTGAAGGAATCATCCTCTCACTTGATGTGAGCCATGACATTAAACATAGAGAAATGAGGAGTGTTTAAGATCAGTTTGGGATGCATCTTCAGGGGATGGTGAAACAACAACAGCATTTGGTTTTCTCTACATCCCTTTCATCCTTTGCCCCCAAGCCCAGGGAGTTGCCAGGGAGTTGCCAGGGAGTTGCCAGGGAGTTGTCAGGGAGTTGCCAGGGAGTTGCCAGGGAGTTGTCAGGGAGTTGTCAGGGGTGGTGCTTTGTGATGTCAAAGCCATCCTAGGACTGCCATTGGCTGGGACACTGCCTGTATGATCAAACAAAGCTCAAGGGTGTGGCTTTGCCTGGTCACCAGGAGGGTGCATATAGGGAGGGCAAAGCTCTGGGACGACCCACTGGCAAGCTTCAATGTAGCTGTGGGTATCTGTACCCTAGAAGGGGCTAGTATACCCATTCTAGTACCTGCCATAATTATGGAAGGTCCAACGTCAAGCACCAACGGGAAGAAGAGGAAGAGTCCCTGTGAATCTAGTAATAAAGAAAGTGATGAGGTAAGATTGTTCAGTTTTGTAGGGAAAGCTAGGATGAGAGAAGGACACATAGAGATGGGTGGCTCAAATAGCAGCACAGAAATTGCAGGCACCTGTGGAAGTGGGGGGCCAGCTTTTATGCCATAGCCTACTACTGTTTACAGTCTGGGGTAATTACAGGCGTGGGTAGGAGGGATCTAAGCACTGTGGTTTGCTGACTGGCAGGTTATTTATGAGATGTCTTATGATTAGGTGGTTTGGCCCTTGTTCTGGTGAAATATCATTGTGGTGTTCCTTAGAGCTTTGCCAAGCAAGATGTGATAGTGATGTTTCTTTAGTGGGGCCTTTGTCTGCCCTGTGCTCAGGTGATTAGGCATGATGTCTCTCACAGCCTGAACCCCCATGGAATGTTCACTTTGACCAAGGCCTGCAAATTGCAAAGAGCTTACAAAATGGTGCAGTTTGGACTAACGCGGATGACCCTAGCCATGCTCCTCTTCTTCTTCCCCATAGATCCCTACCCTATGATTCCACCTTGTCTTCTCTGGCACAAACCTCTTTCTCAACCTGCAATTTTTCTTGTAAACAACCCCTCCTGCCAGCACGGCTATTCAGTCTCTACCATTTTCACCAAAATAACGTCTTTCTGCCCTCTCCCTGGTTCTTACCAGACACAGGAGACACTGAACGGAGCTTTAGCCTCTGAACAAAGCTTGACGAAGACCAAAAAATCACAATATCCAACAATATTAGTGTTTTACTACAGGAAGGGTAAGAAATATGTTCAAATCAAATGGAGAAAGACCAGTCCGACAGAATTCCATTGATCCAATCCAAGAGGAGGGGGACAAAGACCTAGGCCCATGTGAAGGATCTTCACAGAAGGACGAAAACCTAGACTCATGGGAAGGATACTCACAAGAGGATGAAGACCTAGATGACTCAGCTGAAGGATCTTCACAGGAGGCCGAAGACCTAGACTCATGTGAAGGATCTTCACAGAAGGACGAAGAGCTCGACCCATGTGAGGGATCTTCACACAACGACAAAGACCTTGACCCATGGGAAGAATCTTCACAGAAGGACGAAGACCTCGACCTCATGGGAAGGATACTCACAGGAGGATGAAGACCTCGACTCATATGGAGGATCTTCAAAGAAGGATGAAGACCTCGACTCATATGAAGGATCTTCAAAGAAGGATGAAGACCTCGGCCCATGGGAAGGATCTTCACAGAAGGACGAAGACCCTCGACTCATGGGAAGGATATTCACAGGAGGATGAAGACCTCGACTCATATGAAGGATCTTCAAAGAAGGATGAAGACCTCGACTCATATGAAGGATATTCAAAGAAGGATGAAGACCTCGGCCCATGGGAAGGATCTTCACAGAAGGACGAAGACCTCGGCTCATGGGAAGGATACTCGCAGGAGGATGAAGACCTTGACTCATATGAAGGATCTTCAAAGAAGGATGAAGACCTCGACTCATATGAAGGATCTTCAAAGAAGGATGAAGACCTCGGCCCATGGGAAGGATCTTCACAGAAGGACAAAGACCTTGACTCATGGGAAGGATCTTCACAGGAGAACGCAGACCGCGACACATGGGAAGGATCTTCACAGAGGGACGAAGACGTCGACCCATTGGAAGGACCTTCACAGAAGTACAAAGACCTCGACCCATGTAAAAAGTCTTCACAGCAGGACGAAGACCTCAACTCATGTGAATGCTCTTCACAGAAGGATGAAGACCTCAACTGATGTGACAGATCCTCACAGGAGGGTGGGCAGGATTAGTCACATGGGGGAAACCCAACTGGACAAGTAACAACAACAACAAAATAAATGTTGAGGAGCTGATGACTGAGTGTCTCTCTGCCTGTTTTCTGATGGTGAGGAGGAAGGGAAGGGGAGAGGTAGGCATTCGAGAAGGGAGGGATATGAGGTCCTATAGGGTTGGTGGGCAGATGCACAGGTGTGGCAGACATTCTGAATAAGACTTGGTGAAGGACTGATTCCTGGAGACAAATCTTCTTCCTAAATTTTATCCCACAGGAGACAAAGTAGAGGATTTGGTGTTTCTTGGAGCATGTACATAATTAGAAGGGCACATAAAAAGAGCTGCATTGTATGTAGGTGACCGTGACACTCTTTCCACAATGAAGACATCAAAATCAACACCTCCAGGACATATACCTCATGGTAGTGTGTTTTCTAACTCACTCAACTCTTTGAGCAACTGAACACCCTCTAAAAGACCAAGAACCTCAACCTACGGAAAGTAAAACAGCACATCACACACACTAGAATGATGGTATTTGCAGGACATGGTCCCAATAGTAAGGCACTTCTTTGATAAGAAACTCTAGGTGGAGCAGGAGCCTACCAAATGTGGGACACTGGGAGTGGCCATTGTCTACTGCAGGCAATAAACGAAAGCATAGTCTACAGAGAATTTGAACACAATCATACAAGTACAAGTTGATACTTTTATTACCACTTCCATACACCAGTATTTCCATAGAATGTCAGTGACTAAGAATTGCATGTTCTTCACATGTACCACAAAACCTAAAATGCAATTAAAAAAAAAACAAAGAAAAAAGGATTTTTTTCCATGGAAGAAATCCTGTTTCTATTGGAGGGAATACAGTAGAGTGGTTTTGGCATCAAGTGTAGAGGGCTGAGGTCTGTTCCTCGGGTTAATTGCTCAAGACGCACTCCTGTTTATTTACTCATTCATTCTCCTTTATTTCCACGACCCAATTTTATTCCTCTTGTCTACATTGGCAATCGTTGTAATGCATTGATGTGCATCCTTTTCTCTGTATGAGTGTTAACATATGTCTCATACTGTTTGTGGACATTAGTTTTCAATTTATGTATCCATCATCAATTCTTGTTTCACTCAGCCCTGTTTTTAAGATGCATCTGTGTATGTCTAATCTGTTCTTCTTGTAATGGATATGTCAGGTACATTTTGTATTTTCTAAATTTTAGAAAGATATTTTGATTTTTAATATTTGTACACACTTCTTGTCCATGTTTACGTATACCTTAGTATTACATTTTCTTTCAAGAGACTGTGCATAGTATCATGCATTTAATTTTGATTTCCACATGTTCAATGTTAGTATGTAGAAGTATGATGGATTTTTTACTTTTACTTTAAAGAAATGTTGTTATGATATTGAGGTTTACAACATATTATGGAATACAGGAACTAAAATGTTACTGTGGTCAGCACATTAGCATATCTCTCTTCTCAGATTTTTTTTTTTTTAATTACAATGGAGTTTCGCTCTTGTTAAACAGGCTGGAGTGCAATAGAGCAATCTCGGCTCTCCGCAACCTCCGCCTCCTGGGTTCAGGCAATTCTCCTGCCTCAGCCTCTTGAGTAGCTGGGATTACAGGTGTGAACCACCACGCCCAGCCTCTTCTCTAATTTTTAAGTGTGTGAAAATAGCAGCAAAAATCTTATTTAACAAAAATTCATAAGACAATTTCCTTTAGCCCCTCTGTACATTAGATCTTTCGGCTTATTCATCTACATATCTGCCATTGTATATCCTTCAACCTCCATCTCCTCATTTCCCCTCCCACCTCCAATGTTTCATTCTTTACCTCCGTCTATTTGAGCCCCTAAGTTATACAGTCTACATATGAGACCATGAATCATTTTCTTTTGTCTGGATTATTTAACTTAGTGTGATATTCTCCAGGATCATTCATGTTGTGGCAGATGTGAAGATCTCCTCTTAAGATCAAATAATATTTTGTTCTGTATAAATATATGTAACTACACCCACCCCCCCCCCCCCCAGTCACATTTTCAAATCCATTCATCCACTGATGGGCATTTAATTTGTCTCTATATCTGGCTATTGTTAATAATGCTACAATGAATATGAGACTGCAGATATATATTTTTGTTTAGACAGAGTCTCGCTCTGTTGCCAAGGCTGGAGTGGCAGTGGTGTGATCTAGGCTCACTGCAACCTCTGCCTCCTGGACTCAAGTGATTCTCCAGCCTCAGCCTCCAGAGTAGCTGGGACTACAAGCATGTGCCACCACACCTGGCTAAGTTTTGTATTTTTAGTAGAGACAGGGTTTCAACATATTGGTCAGGCTGGTCTTAAACTCCTGACCTGGTGATCCATCCACCTGGGCCTCCCAAAGTGCTGGGATACAGGTGTGAACCCACTGTGACCAGCCAAGAGTGAAGATATCTTTATGAGGCTGTTATTTCATCTCCTCTGGGTATTTATACAGAAGAAGGATTGCTGTGTCATATGGTAGTCACTGTTTTTTTAAGATGGAGTTTCACTCTGTCACCCAGGCTGGAGTGCAATGGTGTAATTTAGGCTCACTGCAACCTCCACCTCCCTGGTTCAAGTGATTCTCCTACATCAGCCTCCTGAGTAGCCAGGACTACAGGCATGTGCCACCACACATGGCTAATTTTTGTATTTTTACTATAGATGAGTTTTCACTATGTTGGCCAGGCTGGTCGTAAACTCCTGACCTCAAGAGATATGCCTGTCTCAGCCTCCCAAAGGGCTGGGATTACAGGCATGAGCCGCCATGCCCAGCGGCCAACTTTTTCATTTCTTTAGTAACCTCCATACTGTTTTACATAATGGTTATACCAATCTACATTTCCACCAACAGTGTACCAGGGTTCTTTCTTCTCCACACCCTCATCAACATTTGCTATTTATTGTCTTTTTGATAACAGCATTCTTAATGAGTGTGAAGTGATGCAGTGGTTTTAATTAGGCATTTTTCTTATAATTAATTATACTGAATGCCTTTTACTATATCTGTTAACATGTCAAAATACTATGGAGAACTACCAGAGTATCTTTACTCAGTCTCCTCCACTGATCTTGCAAAAGTATAGTACAACATCACAACCAGGAAACGGACATTAAATACCAGATGTGGGTGATGGGGGGAAGAAGGCAGCAAATCACCTTGCCATGTATGTACCTATGTAACGTTTCTGCATGATCTGCACATGTACCTTAGGTCCTAAAGCACAATGAAAAAAGAAAAAGCAAAAAGAAAATGGACATTAATAAACTTCATCTATTCACATTTCATCAGTGTTTACACGTGTTCATCTGTGTGTGTGTGTGTGTGTGTGTGTGTGTGTCTTTAGTTATATTCAGTTTATCATATGCCCAGATTCAAGGGACAACCACCATAATACTAATACAGAAGAGTTTCATTAACACAAAAGACCTCTCATGTTGATTTTAATACTTGCCCCCAACCTTCCTCTCCAGTTAATAACCCCTAGTCACCACTATTCTCCACATATATATATTTGTCATTTTGAGAATGTTGTATAAATGGAATAATTCATTAGGTAACCTTTTGGAATCGGTGTGTTAGTCTGTTCTTGCATTGCTATAAAGAAATACCTGAAACTGAGTAACTTATAAAGCAATAAGTTTTAATTGGCTCACAATTCTGTAGGCTGTACAGGAAGTGTGGTGCCAGGATCTGCTTCTGGTTAGGGTCTCAGGAAGCTTACAATTACGGCAGGCAAAGGGAAGCAGACACGTCACATTGTGAGAGAAAGACCAAGAAAGAGAGAGAAGAGATGCCACACACTTTTAAAGAGCAGATCTTTTCTTATCTCAGAGCACGAACTCACTTATCACATAAGAGAGTCACCTCAGTAATCTAATCGCCTACCACCAGACCCACCTCCAACATTGGGAATTGCATTTCAATATGAAATTTGGAGGCAACAAACATACAAACCATATTGTATTTTTTTCACTCGCCATAAGTCTCTAAGGATTAATTCTTGTTGCATATATGAATGGTTTATTGTTTTATACTCCTGAGTATGATATTCCATGGTATAAATGTACCACAGTTTGCCAAATCATTCTACCTGTTGAAGGACATCTGGCCTGTTTCTAGTTTTTGGCTGTTACAAATAAAGCTGTTATAATCATTCACACGCAGGATTTCGTGTGAACATAAGATTTCATTTCTCTGTAATAATTACCCAGATTATAGGTAGTATGGTAGTTGCTCTAGTTGGTTGTGTATGAAAATGCCAACCTTTCTAATGTGGCTGTATCATTTACATTCCCACCAGCAATGCATGCACGATTCAGTTTCTTTGCATGTGCATTAGCATTTGGTTTTGACACTTTCAAAAACTTAGCCTTTCTGGAAGTGTGTACTGATATCTAATTGTGATCTCAATTTGCATTTTCCTGATGGCTAATGATGTTATACATCATTTTAATGTGCTTACTTGTCATCCAGATATTCTCAGCCCTCTCTTTTTTACAGATTCATGACGATGCATTAGAACACAGATTTTGACAATATATGTATTAAGTCTAAAAATGACACAAAGATTAGAAGGTTTTTCCAACAACAAGATTTAAATGCAGTAAGAGCTTAAACAGGCTAGACTGTGGGCCACTTTAACTATGGTTTTAATCCGACAAGAAAAAATTTACTAGAGCACATTGGCATGCTCTAATCTTGGCATCCCAAAACTAACATCTTATGAATAGAATGAGAGGCATTTGATTAAACAGTAGTATCAAAAAATCAACTGAGAGGTTTTCAATTGACAGTGAATATAGAGTGAACCAAAAATGTGAAGAGGCTGTTCAAAAGCTATTCGTATCTTTGAATAAATTCCATGAAAGGTAAGTAAAGCAAGAGGTGACTTTCTTCTTCTGTCTGTGTTGATCAGACTACACTTCAGTAAGTATTTTCAG